GTTCTGAGGAAGGGTCACCAGACCCGAAACGTTAACTCTGTTTTCTCCTCCACAGATGCTGCCAGACCTGCTGAGCTTTTCCAGCAACTTTGTTTTTGTTGTTTTGAGATTCAGGAATTCGGATTGGATGAATTGGAGGCATAAAATGGTTATGCCTCCAGTTCACGTTCAAGTTGGTGAATTTGATTTTATTCAAAGCAAAGTTTGCAAGACCAGGCTTGTTCAGATTTTTCACAGACACTAATTTCTTAAAACTTTAGATTATGTAGCCATAGGTATAAACTAAATGTATAAGAACCTGAATTGATATTTTAATATTGTACATTAACATTCAAATTTTGAAGCCAAAGGCATGACATTCATTAAAATTGAGACGTATAACGCTTCACTTCTTCAGGTACTCTTACCATTTGTAGAAATCACTTTCAGTTGCTGACAAAGATCTATTGCACAATGATCATTCAAGAACTTACTGTATAGGTTTGTTTTATTCAGCTGGAGGTGGCATTTAATACTTGCTGCATCCCATTGGATTGTAAACCACTTGTCCAATGTTCTGTACGTATGAAAACGAGAATTTTTCTTTGGTAGTTCTCTTTAGTACATTTTAAATCAATAATGAGTGTCTAAATTAGCTTTGCAAATCAACCTGAAAAATACTACAAATCAAAAGTGTGTTTGTAGTTTGAAGCAACTACATTACTTTAATACTAAATTGCTTGCGTTTTAACAGATTTCCTGGTTTCAAAGAGGTACGTTTGGTACCTGGCCGACATGATATAGCTTTTGTGGAATTCGAGAATGAAGGACAGGCTGGAGCTGCACGCGATGCGTTGCAAGGATTCCGAATTACACCATCTCATGCCATGAAGATCACCTATGCCAAGAAATAATCAAGGTTATCAAGGCAAAAAAAGTTTGAGTTGTTTATTTTTACTTTAATTGCTGTTTACTTATCGCAGGAGAGAGAAGAAAAACAAAGTGTATGAAGCAATTATCAGCTTTGTGGACTTCTTGTAACCGTTGCAGTCTCAAAAATTAAGATGTGATTAAGTAGAAAATATTTCATTTTCTGCAAGTGATATTGACTGCTGCTAACTGAAAATGAAAACAACTGTCTCATGTTTTATACAATAAAATTAGGTCTTTCAGTAACTTTGTCAAAATAATAGTTACTTTATTATAAAATTTGGAACCAGGACCTTGTGTTTCAGATTTCTTCTTTTGTAGCTCATAATGAACCGTGTAAACTTTTGACTAAAATTGTACAGGAGTCGTAAACAATACATATTTCATTTGCAAGTATTCTTCAATTTGTTTCGTCAATCTGATCCACCATCCTGGAACCCAGCATCCCAAAAGCAGCATATATATATTTGGTAGAAAATAAGTTGGCTCTGCTCTCATCATACCCATGGGCAAACAAGGTACTGGAGGTGTAATCAAAAAAGAGAATAGCATTCATGGTCTAAAGTTATTGAACTCAATGTTGAGTCTTGAATGCTGTAAATTACTTGCATGGAAAATGAGGTGCTGTTCCTCCAACTTGTACTGGGTTTCACTGAAACACGGCAGCAGGCCCGGGATAGAAATCTTAATGAGAATAAGATGATTTATTGGAATGATAACCAATTGAAAGGTTGAGGCTGTTCTTACAGAATGGTAGTTTTCCGCAAAGCAGTCATTTAGCCTGTGTTTGGTGTCAATGTTGAGACCCTGCATTGTGAGCAGCAAATACAGTATACTTTGCAACTTCATTTTGAATCTGCCTGGGTAAATCCGAGCTGGAGATGGTCACTGAGGAAGGTGTGGCTGTGAAAATGAGTGTTGAAAAACAGTTTATTGAACACTAAGAGGGAAATAGAAAATCCAGGTGCATTAGCTGAAAGATAAAATGGAAGTCCCATCAGAGGGAACATCAGAATTTCTTCAGTGTGTTTACCTTGGGAAGAGAAGTGGCATGACCAAATTTATGAATTGGAGACTGAAGTACAGACGCTGCAGCATATCATGGAAGGGGCAAAGTTTCGTAGATACTTTGTACTAAGAGACCATCACATCATATGTTGTGATGTTCTAATCTAGTCAGTGTTCAGGAATAGGACAGAGTGACTGAGTGAGGCAGGTAAACAGACGCGGAGGGTAGGAGCCTTTGCAATTGTCCAACAGGTTTGAGGTCATTTAGGCTTGTTTGATTGAGTATGGGGACTGCAGATTGCGAACCAACTAACCATGGTGCCATGATCGAGGAAGCCCATCAGGTGAGTGGAGAGGGCAGTTAAAAAGGAGTTTAATGGTCACGGGACCGTATAGTCCAAGGGACACTTGTCTGTAACTAAAAACATGAGTCTAGAAAGCTGTACTATAAGCCAGGTGCCAGGTTTTGGGACATCTATTCAGGCTGCATAGGAGCCTACAGTGAAATGGGAGTATCCGGTTGTTATGGTCTGTGTAGTTATCAATGTAATAAGTAGAACAAAAAATAGATTTTGCATAGTCAGTTTGAGGAGTTAGACCAAAAATGAAGAAGCAGACCTCAAATATTGTGGATCATTACCTGAACCTAGTAAAAATTGATGTAAAACAGAGATGAAAGCGTAGCTCAAAGAATGGTGTGGAAAAAGTGAATTCCGGTTCATGAGGCACTGGATCCAGCACTAGGGAATATGGGATCTCTACCATTGGGATGGTCTTTTTGCGAACTGCACTGGGATTGTGTTCTTGTATAATTAGGGAAATGAGAAGATTTTAAATCAAATATAAGGGCACAGCATCATTTGTGAAGATTTGGTACATTGGAGAGTAGAGACCAAGCAAAAGAGAAAGGTATTAATATGGGAAATGACAAACCGATCATGACTGGAAGGGATAGAGAGTAAAAATCCAACAGTCAATCAAAAAGAGGACTAGAGATTACAGGAGAAAACTTAAGTCTGTGCATCTGGATATAACGCTACATTCAAAGCAAAACACATGAATTGAAAGTGCAAATAGAAATAATTGTGTTATCTGATATCCTGCAGCCATGTACACGTAATGGCTGACATAGATCAGTACTTGAATTTTTTTATGTTGCTTGTGGGATGTCAGTGTCACCGGCTGGCCAGCATTTATTGCCTGTCCCTAGTTACCCTTGAGAAGATGGTGGTGAGCTGTCTTCTTGAACTGCTGCAGTCACGTGCTGTAGGTTGACCCACAATGCTGTTAGGGTGAGACTTCAAGGATTTGACCCAGTAAGAATGAAGGAACTGCAATATATTTTCAAGTGAGGGTAGTGAGTGGATTAGAGGGGTACTTGAAGATGGTGGTGTTCCCATGTATCTGCTGCCCTTGTCCTTCTAGCTGGAAGTGGATTGTGAGATTGGAAGGTACTGTCTAAGGATCTTTAGTGAATTTCTGTAATGCATCTTGTAGATAGTACACATTGCTGTTACTGAGCATTGGTGGTGGAAGGAATGGATGCTTCTGAATGTGCCAGTCAAGTAGACGGTTTTGTCCTGGATGGTGTCGAGCTTCTTGAATTTTTGAAGCTGCACCCATCCAGGCAAGTGGGGAGTATTCCATCTCACTCCTAACTTGTGCCATGTAGATGGTGGATAGACGCTGGGGAATCAGGAGGTAAGTTACTCAATGCAGTATTCTTAGCCTCTGCTCTGCTCTTGCAGTCACTGTGTTTGTTTGTTTGTGGTGAGCTCAGTTGAGTTTCTGGTCAGTGGTAGCCCCCCAACCCCCACCCACATATTGATAATAGTAATAGTAATACCATATAAGTCAAGGGGCAGTGGTTAGATGGTAGTTGCCTTGTATTTGTGTGACATGAATGTTATTTGTCACTTGTCAGTCCAAGCATGGATATTGTTCAGATCTTTTTGCCTTTGAGCATGTATGATGCTGGACATTACACAATTATTGGCGAACATCCCCACTGCTGGCCTTAAGATGGATGGATGGTCATTGAAGCAGCTGAAGATGGTTGGGCCTTAGACACAGGCCTAAGGAACTCCTGCAGAGATGACCTGGAGCTGAGTTGACTGACCTCCAACAATCACAACCATCTTCCTATGTGCCAGGTATGACTCCAAGGATAGGAAGCTAGGAAACTGTGGAGAGATAGCTCTGTTAATTAAGGATGATTTTAATAGTTTGGGTAGAGATGGGAAATTATAAAGGTAAGAAGACACTGTGGGAGTAGACTCCCTAACTAACCACATGGTAGAGTAGAACATAAAGGAAGACATAACTAGAATTTGTTAGAAAGACTTAGTAATAACTGTGTATAGGATTTTATTCCTACT